GGATGAAAAAGATGAGGTTCCAGTACCTGCTCGTTGTGCTACCATCGAGAGGATCGGTATTTCTATCAATTTGATCTTTCGGACGAGTCATTGAAAACCGTTCACCCAGTCCACCTTTATAAGACTCCCTACAAAGTCGATCGTTGAAGAAAGAAGCATAGCAGATCGATATCCACACCACCTACCTGTTGATGGTAATTCCATCTAGTGGCTCGGTATTCCTATCAATTTGATCTTTCGGACGAGTCATGGAGAACCGTTCACCCATTCCACCTTTGTACGATTCCCTACATGCGTTCATCCAGAGTAAGATGGAACATGGGCGCAAGATTGTGAAATATCACTTACCTGCTGACAGTACTTCCGTCAAGCGGCTCGTTATCCCTGTCAATCTGGTCCTTAGGGCGAGTCATCAAGAATCGTTCACCGATTCCGCCTTTATAGGTTTCCCTGAAACAGTCACGATTCAGAAGATGGATGAAAAAGATGAGGTTCCAGTACCTGCTTGTTGTGCTACCATCAAGTGGATCGGTATTTCTATCAATTTGATCTTTCGGACGAGTCATAGAAAACCGTTCACCCAGTCCACCTTTATAAGATTCCCTACAAAGTCGATCGTTGAAGAAAGAAGCATAGCAGATCGATATCCACACCACCTACNTAGTGGCTCGGTATTCCTATCAATTTGATCTTTCGGACGAGTCATGGAAAACCGTTCACCCATTTCTCCTTTGTACGATTCCCTACGATTGTCTACTCAGACGGGGCGATGGTGGGGACATTAGCCTTAGTATTATTTCATACCTGTTGATGGTGGTTCCATCTAGCGGATCTCTATTCATATCTAATTGATCCTTTGGGCGAGTCATCGGATGTCGCTCACCAGTCCCGCCCTTGTAGTATTCTCTGAAAAACTTGTTTTCCTGTCTATTTTTTTTACTTGGTACATTATGAAAAAAAGTTGTTTTTTCATAAGCGTTCGAATCAGCACCAACAGGAAGCGCCCTTGAAGACACAGTCCACGATAATTTTGGGTTATCCTGCTTTTGACGAAAGATGAAGGAGAAGGTGGAGTATAGTATAATACCACTGGGGCGAAGAGAGCAAAACAATCGCTTCTTCTACGGTGCTGTACGGGAATAAGAGTAAAAATGAAGTAGAAGATGTATTCGGGCGAGCTGAACCATGTGTGCCACTGCGTACAGCTGACAATATTAAGCAAAAAGTTCAGTAAATGAATCAAAATCACTAGTTAAAGTTAACAACACACGTTTGATAACAAAAAACTTTTCATTCTCGCGAGGCATTGCACCCGAAAAATGAAAGCAGCAGCAAAAAGTATAACAGAGAATAACAAAATAAAGTGAAACATCCCCTCACTACTCGGCGATCAGCCTATTGCATGCTGAAGGTGTGGGTCCTGGTGCGAATAGCGCAACCTGTATCTTCTCGACACTCATCTGTCATGTCATCGCCCGATAGGCGTTTAGGTCGACGAATTTGGTGGGGCTCATATTATGCTTTATCTGTTGAGTTTTTCGTCCCGACAGCGTCCTCTGCGTTACCCTTGGGATCCCAGGAGGAAATCTTAGAAACCATTTTTATCCTGAACTGTGCCTTTTAAGTTTGCTGGCAACCACTTCACTGGGTAATGTTGGCTTTGTCTTGACATGTAATTATACTTCTTCTTACTTTCCAAGACGCTCTGTTTATTGGAAACCTATTTCTCACAATGTGTTGACATGATAATTCAGTTCAAATTCATTGCAGAAAGATTTATAGATATGTCTTCTACATTTGGATAGATCTTGAATGGGAGGTATAGGCACCGTTTGCTGATATGTTGAAAGGAAATGAGCATATCAGAGTTCTTACAAACAAAAACCTACTGCTGTTTCGCTACCAATTGGACAAACCTGAACTTAAAGGCAAAGTTCACGTTGAAAAGTGTTTCTTAGATTTATCTCCAGAATGAACTTGTGACCCCCAAGGATGGTCTGAGGGACGCTTTCAGGTCAAAAAACAGTCAAGGTAGGGCATAATAATGGCCCCCAAAACCGGCTTAGCCTACCTGAGCACTAAGGTTGCACCATTCGCACCGGGACCCACACCTCGTACGCAGGCAGCGTATTGCAATCAGCTGTATGCAATGGCGCGCGCGAATAGCTCATCCAAATACCCTTCCCATACAGCTTTTTTCGTGACATTCTTGTCCGACACCTAATCTTACTTCTTTTCAAAAGCCTTGTATCTCTTCATCACTCCTGCACTATTCTGGGCTATCACTTCCACCCCTTTGTGAACTACCACTTCTAAAACTCGCCAACCGAGAAACATCGTGAACTGTGCCTCTAAGAATAATGTAATTACCGAACAGAAGGACGCTTAAAACACATGTAATTTCATTAGAGAGATTAATGCATACACAGACACTGAGGACAGATTAAGTACGGAAGAGTTGCACTTTCACGAAAGACGTCTGACCAACTACTGCAATTTACACGAGCGTTGTTTCTGATAGTGAATTTATGATAAGCTTCATTGTTGAAATCTACACCATCGAATCAAGGATCAAGCGACAGACTGAAAATGTCCAATATAGCAGAATTTTAAGGTAGTTTTTACTGTGGAAGGTACATATATCTGCGTGCAACTCTCTCAATTTTGAGGCGGTTGGTTAGGTCTTCAGAGCGCACGGGAATTTACAACCGTGTCAGAGTAGAGTGGATTTCGATATACCTGTTGATCGTGTGCCCATCCAAAGGATCAGTGTTTCTGTCAATTTGGTCTTTTGGACGAGTCATCGCGAACCTTTCACCAATACCGCCTGTGTATGCTTCTCTAAAGTTGTACGTTTTGGTATAGATAAGCTGTTCTGACTTATCGCTAAAAGTGGTAATGGGTTACCTATTAATCGTGTGCCCATCCAAAGGATCGGTACTTCTGTCAATTTGGTCTTTTGGACGAGTCACTGAGAACCTTTCGCCAACACCGCCTGTGTATGAATCTCTAAAACATCAATATTTTGGCACAAACAAGCAGTTCAGGCTTATTGTGAAGAGGTACTGTGTTACCTGTTAATCGTGTGCCCTTCCAAAGGATCGGTACTTCTGTCAATTTGGTCTTTAGGACGAGTCATTGCAAATCTTTCACCAACACCGCCTGTGTATACTTCTCTGAAAAGTTAATTTATTTAGCAGAAATACTCAACTCAGGCTTATCATTGGACGTGTTACTTCATTACCTATTTATCGTGTGCGCATCCAAGGGGCCAGTGTTTCTGACAATTTGGTCTTTGGGGCGAGTCACCGTAAACCTTTCTCCAGCTCCACCCGTGTAGGAATCTCTAAACTATTGAGATAGTAATAACATCCACAATCTTTGTTGGACATACTAAGGCTTCACCTGTTCACAGTGCTTTTATCCAGTGAACCAGTATTCCAGCCAATTTGATCCTTTGGACGAGTCATTGAGAATCTGTCACCCGTTCCTCCCTTGTACGACTCTCTGAAACAAATTTTTGAAGCAAGTGGAAGAACTGGGCAACGACTGTTCTTCTTTACCTTTGAACTGTGCTCCCTTCCAAAGGATCTGTGCTTCTATCAATTTGATCTTTTGGCCGAGTTAATGAATATCTCTCACCGACTCCGCCTTTGAACGATTCTCTGGAAGAGTTGCTTTTAGCTGAAAATATAATGAGTAGCACAGCAGCAAGACTACACAATACCTTGTAATCGTGGTATCATCCAGAGGATCATTAGTTCTTTCAATTTGGTATGTCGGTCTGATAATCTTGGGCCTACCACCAACTCCGCCTGTGTACGATTCTCTGAAATATTTAACAGGGCATCAAAACATTCTATCTAAGTTACTAGAAGGGTTTAGGACCTGGTAATGGTCCTGCTATCTAGTGGGTCTGTATTCCTTCCGATCTGGTCCTTAGGGCGAGCCATTGAGAATCTGTCACCCAGTCCTCCTCTATACGCCACTCTGAATCAGTGTAAGTTGATGAAAACAGCATGAAATAAAGGAAAAGGTTGTTTTGATGGATGACAGTAAGTCGTCCAGACAGTGCGGTTGGCAGGCCTGCCCTGCGCCCATTCATCTATGTATATAACTGTATAGCCGTCCACTGTGAGCGGGGCAAGATTCCTGCTCATCCATTTGGTTCCACAGTACCTGGTGATAGTGCCCGTGTCCAGTCGTTCAGTATTCCTGTCAATTTGGTCCTTTGGGCGGATTATTGGGAACCTCTCTCCGACTCCTCCTCTGTACGATTCTCTAAATGTGATCTATCATGGAGAATTCAGAGGTCGAGTACAAATAACCTCGATTGCACATACCTGGTAACTGTTGTCCCTTCAAGAGGAGCAGTGTCCCTATCAATTTGATCTTTTGGGCGACTAGCTTGAGGCCTTTCGTTGGGACGGAACTCCTGTGAACTCCTATAAACAACAAATATACACACATTACAACAACACTACAGTAATCTAGTATTCATGCGACTTAAACGATATTAGCCTTAGAGCACGTTTTTGTTGTGATAACTTGACAAGTCACCTGGATGTTGTCTCAAAGGTGAGCCTTCCATCATTCGCATCGTCAAAGAGCATTGACAAGCCTTGGTCTTTCCTATGTTTTGACATCTTGATGGCCGGTGTATATGAAAAGTGGTCCTGAAATTTTCTACATTTTTGCTGGTATACTCATAACACTGCGGTGGTTTACCGTCAGCGTTGTTGCCGTATCCATTATTTTCATTTAGTCCTATCTGAAATACATATTTACGGGTCCCTTTTCCTCAGTAATTGTTTGCCGCTATGCATTCTGGAATAAGCCACTATTCACCACGGTACATTAGCAGCAGCGTAACTAATCGACAATAACAAAGATAAAATCGTTATATACCTTTCCGCTATGTAGTGTTCCCAGGGTAAGGGAGAGTGAAAGCCTGAAACACTGCGATCCCTCATGGAACGACAATGTCGATAAGCTTTATCACCTTACAAAAGCTTTCTTTTATGTTTACTATTTCGAGTCCCACTTTACCTCTTTCGGAGTTATCAGGTCCACGTTTGTGGGCTATGAAAGAAATCGCGGTTTTCATTAGGTTGAGTCATAAGTCCTCGGACAAAATGATAGCGATGACTTCTAGAGATCGTAACTCGGGAAAGAGGAGACGAAAATGGACGCGCGTGGCACTGAGATAGAGTATGAAACGCTTCTTCAACTACAAACTAACGAACACGCCTGTTTCCTTTCCTGCAACCACCCAAGCCCCATGACTTCAAGCCGTCGCAACTCCACTTCCGCAACACCATCCTATTTCTTTTTCTATCTGGCCAAGAACCAGCGGAGATCGATAGACGTATGAAGGAAGTTTACAAGAGGATTGCTCCTTCCTACGAGAAGGTTCACGTTGGACGACTATTCCATCGAAACTGAAGACCGTCCGGGACGCTCAATGGAGTTGGATTTGGACGTGCTGCGGGGCCAGGTGGAAGCCGATCCGTATCAAACTACTCATGAACTGGCAGTCACCCTTGGAGAGTCGGTCCACAGTTGTTCGTGGATTGAAGTCAATCGGCAAGGTGCGAAAGCTCGGTCGATGGGTGCCTCATGCCTTGAAGCAGTATGACATGGACTGCCGCGCCGACATAGCTCTTTCTATCCTCACTACTCTTTAGCAGGTATTTGGAAGAACTTTATATACTCTATCTAACGGTGCCTCTCGTGTCCATTTTCGTCACCCCCTTCCCGCATTATGATCTCTAGAAGTCGTCACTATCACATTGTCCGAGGACTTATGACTCAACCTAATACCTCCCTTTCCTTCTCTCGAAAGTATAACGATGATAAATGATTACAGACTCTGCACATGTGAATGTCTACTTCATTCATAAAAAACAGCTTTTCTTGAAGTAGTTTTCTTCTAGAGTAGGCAAGTCATGGGCAAAGCTCCAGTTGGGGCTGGCGCCCACATTTGCTTTTTCTTTTTGGAGGGGATGCCCCGAGATTCTTTTCATAGAGACGCGAGAATCAGCGTCCGTAAAAAGTATGAGGGCGGAAGCACCTTCACTGGGTTTGATCAGTTCCTACATCACATCTTTTTAGCTGAGAACTTTTTCATGAGAGGCTTCTATCCCCTACACCTTCCCAATGAATTCTACTGCCTGATCATCAGGCCCTTGAGCCGTCTAACGCTCTGAAGGCGTTATGTCAATTGCATGTATTATATTTTCTCATATGGCGGACACTGAGCGGAAATATAGGTACAACTTGTATGAAAAATTGCATGCATTTTCGGGAATTGACTCTATCTTACAATTATACTTGGAATGATCAAAGATACAAGCAAGTATCTGCTGATAATAGAGAGTGATCCCTTCTGATCCCGTAAAATCCTTTCTAAATCGCCTTAAAAGGATTACATGAAGAACATGTTAGTAATCAAGACAGCTTGCAAAGAGATGGGGATAAAACTCTGAATGAGGCAGGTCTAGGAAGGAAAATGAAGGAAATGATCATGATAGGTGTAGTATGAGGCGACTGCCATACCATTTAACACTACTTCTATTCTCGGCATCAGTTTCAGTTTCCATGGAGATCCCTGGTGCACATTTTCTCACATTCGCGAATTCCTCTACAATCATGTCATTGATACCTCATACCCGACAGCAAATTGGACATTTAGGAACAATTCAGCTCATGGAGGACTTTGTTTTGCATTCCAGAACTACCCACTTAATGTTCACAAGTACTACTGAAGTATTAGAGCTTCACCCAGATATTTGTGAATGTTGCTGCTGATTATAAATATAAATAAACATCTGCTTCACCATGAATTATATTGCGACAGCTGTTAACTAAACAAGAGAGGAAGATGGGATCTGTGATGAATAAAGCAAAACTCTTACCAGAGCGGCTTAAAAGATCCAACACAATGACTAGTCAGTTAAGCCTCATCCACAGAAGGCGGAATTACGCTATTGCCTGTGGCATTTGGTGGTTAATTAGACATTTTCTTGTCAACACGGCTTACATTGGAGGTCATGGATTGTTCTCTAATACGCTAGGGGACAATGGGATATAGCTTATTACCAGAAGACGGAAGAAGGAGTTTATACTGATGTGAGTCACCAAAATGAGATCGACCGCCACCAGGACAAATTTTGAGGCCATACAAGCTTCTAGCTTTTGTTTAGTTGTCTCCAGTGGTGGTTGGGAGAATTTCCCTCCCAGACACCGCTGGAGGCAGCCAGACACGAGCTGGATTTTCGAAGCGGGAGGAGATTTCTGAGTTTCAAGGTTTTAGTTTTAGTATTGAATACTACTTGATCAGGTACATAAGTGCAGCCATGATTCCCAGCAAATACTCGAAGAACAGCGAAGTCGATTCTGAAAACTACCCGAATCTTGAGTGCAGTCCTGAGGCCCTTAAATGCTTCAATTTGGTTCAGAACCAGGATATGGCCCTTCACCGGCCTGATAAATTAGCGTGGCAGATAAGGAAAGCTCCAAATCGGGCCAGACCAAGTCGATGAGGCCAAAAAAGAAATAAAAATCTTTTAGCAATAAATATCGACAATATTTACCGAATCATCTTTCGACCCACGGAAGCAGGACCAACATCTACGAAGCATGGTGTTTTTGAAGCGTAGTGTAGTGGAATAGGTGCGAAAGCCCTATGAAGAAGGAATGAACAAAAGGACAATAGACTTTTAGGCGCCCATAATGTTCAATTTGCACCTCAAGGGCGGGTACATGGACATAAACGTCGGCCGATCGGCGTAGGCTCAAGAATGAGTCTTTGTCAAGCTTCTCTGGCTCAAATGGCAACTCTTCAAAATGTTCTGGTCATTTCAAGCTTGAAGTCCCGACCTAAGTTCGAACCACTATGACAATGGAAGCATGGTCGATCTCCGGAATGNACAATATTTACCGAATCATCTTTCGACCCACGGAAGCAGGACCAACATTTACGAGGCATGGTGTTTTCGAAGCGTAGTGTAGTGGAATAGGTGCGAAAGCCCTATGAAGAAGGGAATGAACAAAAGGACAATAGACTTTTAGGCGCCCATAATGTTCAATTTGCACCCCAAGGGCGGGTGCATGGAGTTAAACGCCGATCGGCGTAGGCTCAAGAATGAGCCTTTGTCAAGGTTGTCCAGCTTAAATGGCAATTCTTCAAAATGTTGAGATCATTCCAAGTTGGTAGTGGTTCGGACTTTAGTTCAAGCGCTACATATGACAATGGAGCCTCGGTCGATCTCCGTAGTGAAGGCTTTTATTTATCAGAATTGAGAAGTACAAGTCTGTGAACAAAAGATAAGGTTCCCTCGAACCAATACCTCTAAGGTTTGAACCCTTGCAGTCAGTGGGCCAATTGACATGAAGGCAAGGGACCCATGGCAGTAGGCTGGTGAACCTCGAAGGAACTAAAGGCTCGAAGATGGTTATGACGTAGTGGAGGGAGTGATTACGTTGATGCGTTGATCAATCAATTTACTGATTGCTGTCAACCAGAATATGACATACATCCATAGGTACATCGTGTATTATTAGTGTCACCCTTATTCAAAGATCAGGCCCTGCCGCGCTTTCACTAACCCGGTCCTACCTGGACTTTCTTGATGATTACTGTCCTTTATTGGTACTCACAACACTAGATTTTATACTCCTTTACCATGTCTAATAGTAAGAGTAGCGAGCATGTCGTAGTTCAGTCCTGACCTGAGCTCCCCGAATCATTAATGAAGCCTTCCGAGTGCTATGGCGGGACGATGTTTCCTCATGCCTTTGCACATCCCTACAAACATCACGCTAACATTCTTTCTCAAAGTCATTCGAAAGCAGGTAATCATCGGTCAACATGACGGGCACCCCTTATTTGACATCTCGTCTCGTCGGAGGACGTCTTTGTTCAGGCTCCTGTATTTCGGCCCGTTTCACGATCATCAAGACCCTTTGCGCCAGCCATGATCGTCGGTTTGGGTTGGTCTGTGAGTTCAACGAACGCTATAATTGACTCAACGGCTAGTCGTATAAGGTCGCATTGTCCGGTGGCAGACGATCGCAACAGTGTTGTTAATGGGAAGTCATTGTCGCAGAAGACCCGATGGATGTCGCACGCCAAAAGGGCGGCTCATGAAAAATACCATTATTTATGCGAAATCGCTTTATATCAGCTTGTGACAGCCGGCTGGCCGAGGTGCAGCTAACGTCCCGCACATTGTGATCCTAGGATAATTACCGCCATCTCTTAATTATCGGTAATTAATTATTCATTGATCTCTTACCGATGATAACCCGGTAATTAAGGGGTTGCTGTGCAGTAAACGGCTCACGATTCATGACCTTGAGCTAGCCGAATCGTAATTGGGCTGAGACACTTCATCCTCTCTGATCTTGAGGAGAAAAAAAATAATCAGGCCATTCAGCGCTGATTATAATTTGGGATGCGCCATGCACGCAGCTGCTATCTGAATTTTGGAAGTCGTTTGTTTGTGTCGGCTTTTTTCGACTTGACTTGGGCTCTGCAAAGACCAGGCCATGTAGGTAGGAAAGGTTTTGCTGAGCCGCAGTCACCTTCCCAATCCAGATGCATATGTGTCCTTACTGTCACCTGTCCTTGTGTCCTTTGAAAAGCAGACGGTGTTCAGTGAAATTAGGTTCTTTGTTTGAACTCTAAGTTCAATTGTTCAATACGGGCGTTGAGGCGGAAAGCCTCATCAGATCGATTATTGATCAAAGACCAGCCAATCGATTTGATGATTCCGCTTCAAGTTGTTGCGAAACGCTTACGACGATACCGATCACTGTCATAAAACTCCTTAAGAGGCGCCTGTCGGTAGTTTTATTGTGTAGACTCGTAAAATCATTTCGAACTTATACGTTGCCGACGAGAGGCTTTGTCTGAAAACATTCGCGGAAGATTCGCCTAGAAAAATTAAATTTCGTTGAGGTTGAGCTCAGAAAATAGTATTTTTACTTTATTTAATGACTAATTTATTTCTTGGTCAGACAAGAAAGAGGGTTCGTCAAGTGTGAATGGATGCTATGGAATTTGTGATTTTAAAGCTGAGAGAACGTACCCTATTCACTTCTTTCGTTCTCATAATTAGGGCTTTTCCCATTCCTCAGGACGACCACTCGACTTTCATTTAAGCAGAAATTTTCATTTTAAACTCTTAACTCTTGTCTTTATTCTCAGTAGTAAGCTTCGGCAAAAAACAGTGGATAAAGTTCGGAAGCAGGCAAGGCGCTACTTTAATTTGCTTTAGTTGGTATAACTAATATAGGCCATGCTCTATTTTCCTGGAAGGAGCTGTAAAAGTTATCGTCTGGGATTCAAGCACGGATCATAAGGTAATAGTTATCATGCGTGAAAATGGAGTTGAAGTAAGCTCAGTATGAAATGATACCAGTTCCAGACGAGTTACGTTCCAAATTATTCTGAGATTCCTTCTGATGAAATCTCGCCCATAGTCTTTATCGCGGTTTCGGCAACTTTTGGACCCATTGCTCAAACTAATCTGATTGGAATCCGAAGCTGTAAATCTCTTCTAAACAACTGAAAACCCCTAGATCTTCTTCCTCTGAGTCGCAAACTCCTAGACAATGGAATGTCCCCGAATGAAAATGAAATTCAGCTTTCATTCGTCACGATTTTGAACGATGTCGGGCATGACCTGATCTAATTTCGCAAACATATGCAACTCATCAAATCGTTCGCGGTTCATTTATCATCGTCGATGGTACGACCCCGTCGGCAAGCCTCGCACTGTACCGCGGATTCTTCGGAACACTTCAAAAGCCAAGCGCCTACATACAACAACGACAACGATACTCGAATCACATAAATTAGCGTTTTCGGCTCGATCGTTACTCATCTCAGGATGCACCAGCACCACGAGTTCCATTATCGATGTGGACAACTGTCCGCCTTTGTTGATGAGCCTTTAGCTGAACGTTTTTTTGGGTTGCGCCATTGACCAATAGTCAGCAACTCTTCAGCCTCCACTCGTTTTGGCGTATGAACCAGCTGAAAGTAAATGAGAGGAGGTAGTGGTTTTTATAGAACAAGATTCAAACTGCTAAAAGGATATGGCGAGGATTCGATGAAAAATGCTCTTCTTTCAACCCAATCTAGTCCTGCGTCTACAGCCTCGGCCATTCTTCGACTACCTTCATAGCAAGCCTGAAGTATAGTTGAAAAGAACTAATCACCAATGGCTTTTCTTCTCCTCTCTACTCACCCTCCCTATCTTTTTCCAAAACTATGTCGCTGAACAGACCTTCAAGTTAGTTCATTGCAACGGAGCTATCAGCCTTCGATCCCCTTTCGCTCGTTCCTCAGGCCTTCTGGTATTCTGGTATTCTGAAATGACCTGAAGGCTGGGAACGTTCCTCAAACTGAAGTGTTCTACGACCGTCTTGTACGCACTGAATCTACAACCAATTTCCACATGGAGTTTCGTGAATACGATGCCATGGTAAACGAATTGGCAACCAGAGGCTCGATTTACCCTTGGGAATCGAAAAATTCATTGGAATGCACTGTTGTTTCCATTATTTCCCCTTACAATTCATTTTGGGTCCTAAACGTAGCTCCTTCTTTGTGATGCGCTTTTTTTGAGACGATGAAAGCGCAGAATCGAGATCCGTGAGAACGATCGAACGAGTTTTTCGTTCGTCCCTCAGCCCTATCCGGTCTGTCCTCTCGTGTCCGTCCCGAAATGGCAACACTGTTGGGGCGACGATGGCCATGGCGATGGTGAAGATGCTGACGTCGACGACGACGACAACGGGGCGACGACCTCGATCGTGACGGTCGAATGTTTGCTCGGATTCGCATCAACGCGTTCGAGATGACATCCTGCTCGACACATTGCTAGAATTTGAACAGACGATCGACGATCAGCCGGAAATCGAATCTAAAACTTTCTGAGTACACAAGAATGACCCACATACAAGAATGTCAGACACTCACAGTCAAAGAGGTCTGAGGATCGTCAAAACCATTCAGCATACATCGGAAGCCATTGGAGCATTTGAAACGCTATACAAGAATGTCAGACACTCACAGTCAAAGAGGTCTGAGGATCATCAAAGGTCGTCAAAACCATTCAGAATACATCGGAAGCCATTGCAGCATTTGAAACGCTTCACCCATTTATTAGGTCGTATAGTATCCGTTCCCTCAAAGTTCGGGCCCGTTAGGAATTTCGCACCGCTGGATATCTGCTAAAACTGCTATAAGGAATTGGAAAAATGGCTCAGGAGAACTGCGATCGTGAGTTGAATCCAGTGGAAGCCACTTCTCTAGCATAAAAGTTTTTGTAATGGAGAATGGGTCCTCTATGCATGGTTTTCAGCTCCGTGATAGAAATCAAATTTTACTGATTTGCACTGTGTGAATGTAATAAACGAAAACAACAGGTCAGCAATGATCTTTTGTGTTGTACAATCAAAAAGTTCGGGTTGAGCCACACACTCGAGTTCTCATCGGATTTGCAGCACCATTGAATAGGCATCTATACTGCAACTACTCCGAGGTCCAGCCATTAAACAGGCCAGTACTTTAGCCACCCAGACGTATCCGGTGCCAAGTCACTGTGCCCAGAGGCACCTACGAAGGATTATATGAAAGTAGAAGTAAAAATTTGCTGGTAAACTATCGAATTAACTTACATTCACATGCATGTAGGAGAAGGATACCGTACGTTTTCAAATTTTATAAGAGTTTTTCGTAAAAAGCGACTGATTTCTAATGCTCTCACCTACACTACATACTTCACACAGTGTTTATGTCTGAATATGTTCAAGTACCAAATACGAACATCTCTTGCAAATAAATTTCAAAGTACCAAATGAAAATTAAAGTGAGTAGCTGTGAAACCTCCCATTGATCACTTTTTTCAGCATTCCAGCCAGTTATAATCAGCTAGTATCCCTGGTCAATTGGTAACAAACCTGTTTCTTAGCGGAAATATTCTATTTGAAGCAGAAAAAATTCAAAGCCAATGTAGGAGAGTATCTCTGCGGAAGAAACTGCTTTTAAAGGTGTTCTAAATTCTCTCAGAAAAGGCAGAGTCATTCAAAATGTTGCCGTAGTCACACCAAAATCATACCTACGTCGAAGTATAAACTATGGATATAGCAATTACTCGAGTAATATCTACTCTGTGTATGCTACTCCAATTCAGTTACCGTCAATTTGGTGGCTCTCGAGAACATGGAATCCTAATCAGCTTTCTAACTTGCCCCGTCCAATGGTCCTTTTCTCATCTTCTAAGTGAGCATGAAAGCCTCGTACTACTCATGCCATCGCGGCTATCCCGATGGCTCTATGAAGTCGGCGAAGTCTCCGGAACCTTAGGTGCTGCTTAAAATTAATTTTTCAGGCTTATCATCCCACACAGATAGTTTGAAAGTCGAGAAGATGACTTATCACATGCAGCCGAGACATGGAATGGTGAGTGCTTGACGTTACGCTTGATAGAAAGCTCAAGTTTGAGGGAACAAAACCGCTAGCGATGGGACCATAGAAGTTGGTAAAATCTTCTGTAATTCATCCTCAACAGGCGTTTTTTTTGTGTATTGCAGTGTGCCTCTCTTTTCTCTAATTATTACCCACAATCCTCTCTCCTCTGAATAGTTCCTTCTCCTTTTCCTATATCTCGATTTACAGGATCCAGCTTTAACCCTTTGACAGCTCTCATTTATCTGCTCTGTAACCATGGTGTCAATGATGGGTAAGCCTTGAAGGTCACGTTTTGCTTTTGAAGATTTCCGATGCCCTCCAGTTACCCGACTCTTTCTTATTGTATTGTATTGACTGGAAAAAAATACAATCCCTACTCGAGGATCCTTTGAAAGTTTTGAAGCTCTCCCACAAAAACTAATGGGAAGTTCAACGCAAAAGTGAAAACGGCTGACCTAATTTCACGTGAACCCCGCTCGAATCTTCCTCAGTACCGTTCCGATATTTATTGTGTGACTCTGGGGCTGTCCAGGAGCGCGAAGCTCTGCGACAATGCATCCCCTCCGCTCGCTCACCCGCATGGCCGATCATTTATCCTCACACAGCGCGATACTGTGTTGATGCTTCTTTGTTCGTCGACATATGGAGTGCAGGAGTTGACGTTTTTCAGCCGAGAGGACTGACGGTAAAAACTCGTACGGCCTTTTCTCCTCTGTTGGCCCCGGTCGTATGCCGTCGTAAAATGTGCGCCTTTTGCTGCTCAACGACAAAATCGCCACACAACACATCAATGTCTGGCTCACATAATAAGCAGAAGATTACGGTAATTGTGATGGCTTAGTAGATGGTTATGGCCGTTCAGGATGGAAATGTCCTGGCAATTGATAAGTGAGATCCTTTTATGGAGAAAACTGCTGAGATTTCATTATTGTGGGTAAATCCCGAGGAATCTTTCTCTGTTTGTGACCGGTCCCTCAAGCAAATCCACTTCGGTCCTTGGTCTGGGCGAAAATCATCGTGGGATCAGTTGAACGGGACCTTGAAGGGTGACGAGCGGGCGATTACCGTGTGAACGACGACGACGCTTTTTCGTATAATCAGCATACTCGAAAAGCAACAGTAATGGTATGGAAGCGCATGGGCAACTGTCACAAAGAGCAATTTATCACTAGGGCATAG